TATACATACATATATATATATATATATATATATAAAAAAAAGATAACACAAATAATTTCTTCTTCCTAGGAACTCCAGCAGCTTAGCAAGCAATACAGCAATATCAAGCTCCTCCAACTGGGTGAGTAAAGGGCTTGTACAGAAGTATGTTCAACTCAGTCAGGTGAGTGCATCTTAAGAAACTGGACTCCTGGGTCATCAGTACATGACCTCCAGCAGCTGAAAACGATCACCCTCATCTTAAGATAACGCTGGGGAAACATAATCTATGTAAAGACTTCTGTGCATTGTCATCTCTGTGTGCCGCCTAAATGTCCCCATTCAGACTAATGCCTTAGCTTTGGTTTAGCATGTGTTGTATAGGGGCAGACGGCATTTGAACCACACTGTTCACTGTGGCAGTTCTTGGCTCCTCTGTGCAGATGTGGTCTGTGAGAACAGCATCAAGAAAGTAGTCAAGGAAGTGGAAGAAATTGTGGGAGACAAAGGTCTGAACTGCCTCATTAACAACGCTGGCATCAATGTGCTTGCTTCCTTGGAAGAAGTTACAGCAGAGACAATGCTCACCATTTATGAAACCAATACAGTTGCCCAGCTGATGGTCACCAAGGTAAGAATTGGGAGGAATGTGCTTAATCTATGGTACTATAAGAGGCTTTTCCGCTAGTGAGCTGGACATGTAACCCAAGCATGTCACCTTGGAACTGCACAGATACAGGTCTGATATCAAACTGCATGCCTAGAGAGCAGCAGGAGATCCTTTCTATCAAGGATCTTTCTCTTTATTTAAATCCATCTGGTATGAGGTAACTTCAGTGGACAGGTTGGGCTAGGAGGTGGGCAGAAGAGACTGAAGGTCCTTGCTACTTACAGCTGGCTGTTATAGAAAGGTTCCCTATGGTCAGCTTGTCTGGGGAGCCATCACCATTCTGTGCTGGTGGCAAAGAGTTGTACTGTAATTCTTCATAGAGCAGAACCTGAGAGTCCGGCTTGCCTTGAACGGGCCAAGAGCAAGCTGACCAAATTAAAACAAACTCTTGTTTTCACAGGCATTTCTACCCCTTCTGAGGAAGGCAGCCCAGCTCAGCACAGGAATGGGCTGCCATAGAGCTGCTATTATCAATATGTCCTCTCTTGCTGCCTCCATGCAACTCGTCCAGGCAAATGAGATGTTCCTCAAGGTCTACCCCTACAGGATAGCAAAGGTTTGTAGGCTTCCCGGGGCTGTGCTCACTGCGTGAGGGCAGGCCTGTGAGTTAAAGACCACTCTGAGCTTAAGACGATGATCTGAGGTGTGCAGCACTTCCTCGGATAGGCTGACACGGGAACTGTTCTTGTTCTTCGTGTGGGTGGAAATGGGACCTGTGGAAAACCCTACATCTGGAGCAAGCATGCCAACTTCTTAAGAACAGGCTCACAGATGCTCCATCATTGCTCTGACATAGATCCATTTCGGAGGGACTTGGCATTCAGGGAAGAACTGATGCCATCAAGTGTGTGTCCTATTAGCTGTGTTCCTCTCCAGTCCAAGCAAGATAGCAGGCACGAAACTCAACAAAAGGTGTGCTGACCTGTACGTGGTAATGCTAGTTAGTGAGAGGTGGAGTTTTTAGTTTTGTCACATCCAGAGACCGAGTTTGTACAAATAGTCAAGTCAACATTCAGTTTCTCCTACACCACCTACTCATAAGCTGTTAACATGCTTATTTACCCTGTTCAGAAGTAAAAAACTGAATGTTTGTGTAGTGATTATCGCAGAAAAACAGAGTCCTTATGTCAATATTATTTTCCCCACAGCTCCTCAGGAGTTTCAGATGCTACTTTATCTTCCATCATAACTTAGTTTCATCTTTGGGCAGTAAGCTTACGGCAATAGAGCTTTCACAATGCTTCTCTTAACAGATATCTCTGAGAATGAAGCCCCCAGTAAGTCTGGATAAGTTCCTGTGATACTGTTACTGCCCCTTCATTTGTCAGGAGACAGCATGGTGGAGCGGAGGTGCCAATTAGCTCGGCTTAAGGTCTTGCTCAAGGTTTGTAAAACCAGCACACTAATAGATGGTTTCCACACTTGTAGACCGCACTGAACATGATCACCAGGTGTCTTGCTGCAGACTTGAAATCGGATGGAATTCTCTGCATTTCTTTGCATCCAGGCTGGCTTCAGACAGACATGGGTGGAAACATGGTAAGTGACATCTCTGAAAATGTGAAAGTGTGACTCCCTTGTTGTCCCAACCCTTGAGCAAGAACCCACTGTACAGTATACACGTCCATGTGCTGCAGAGGCACGCTATGAAACACGAAAATACATCCCACTTGATTCTAGTAACTCCTCAAATGCATTTGATCCTCTTCTGTAGGATAGTCCCAGTAATAATCTAAGCTTGATTTGCTCTAGGCTCCCATGCAGGTGCAAGAGGCTATCCCAGGTATTCTCTCCGTTCTGGACCGTCTTGGTGAAAAAGAAAATGGTTCCTTCCTGGACTGGCAAGGGGAAACTCTACCGTGGTAGAAGTGCACAGTATGCTACAGAAACAGCATGTCAGTCACTATTTAACTCGTGCCACTAATGTTTGTGTCTCTAGGGTTTTCTTACACGCTAGTTGAAATAGCCAGTCTGATATCCAGCCTCTCTCTAGGTGTATTTGGAAAGTGAGGTGGCTGACTCTTTTACTTAGTACTGCTACTGCTCTGTTCTAATGCTTCCTGCAAATACTACTGTGCTCTTAGTAATGGGTATCATCCCCTGGAACCATCTAAAATAGATTAAAAACCACAAATTAAATCCAGGGGCTGGTTCCTCTTCACTTCTAAAACCAAAGTGGGCCTCTCGCTCTCTGCAGAAGTAAATGACCTGACCTCAGAGTAAGGCCAGGGTAGGCTGTCAGATTCCAGTATGTTCAGTCTGCTGGAGACATGTATCTGGAAAAGGTCCTTCGGTTTCCTTCAGTCCTAACTGAGCCAAGGCTGAAATCGCCCAGCTCTAAACTACGTGAATTTGGTACTTCTGTAAATTCCTCAGCAACCTCTGAGTGTCCCCAGGTTGACAGCACACACCAGGCACTTGCTTTCGTCCCAGTGGGTGACTAACATCCTGATATGGGGGTGGGAATGTTGTTTTGTACATAAACTTCTAAAATGTCTTCAATAAAGTCTTGTTTAAACAAATAGTCTGTTTACTAAACTACTTCAGCTAATTTCTCTGTATGTAGGTTTCTCTTCGTAGGTTTCTCTTCCCTGACCAGAGAACTGTACTTCTACCTTGCAGGAAGAAACTCTAACCACTGCTGTCTCCTTCAGGCTAGATGGGTTTAACGTGGTGGGGTGCACCTGAAACTGGGGCAGGCCCTTGTTCTGGTCTGAAATACTAAAAGCGGCTGGTGAAAAGATCGGTGTTCTGGCTGAGGTAGGGATAAAAGCAGGAAGTTGTTTGAAGTCTGGGGTTGGCTTCAACATCGCTCCCTCATGCCAGCTGATTAGGCACTTTCATGCTGTGCCAAGGTGGTGGGTTCCGTACCAACCGAGAAAAGACAAACAACAGCCAGGTAAGTGGGAGAGACAGGTGTGGCTGTTCCTGGACAGCAGCCACTGTGAGACCTGCCCTCGGATGCAGCTGCGGGCGTGTAAGGGAGAGGTGTCTAGCTGGTTTCCGTGATCCCCACGCTGACGGGGATATAAAGTCTCACTATAACAAACTGCTTGTTATGCCACAGTTCTGCGCTCGTTTTAGTGATGTGCTGAGCAGGTGAACGAAATGCAGTGCTTTCCTGAACGAAATGCAGTGCTTTCCTGAATGTATGCCACAGTCTGCGCTCGTTTTAGTGATGTACTGAGCAGGTGAACGAAATGCAGTGCTTTCCTGAACGGAATGCAGTGCTTTCCTATCAGCTGAAAGCCACTGACTTTCCATCTCAAAGCGTGACTGCAGTATCAGTGCAAACCTGATAGGTTAAGGGGCAAGCTCGGTTTGAACTATTTAGTTTGAACGGCACGTCAGATGCTGGGTGGGGAAAAGGAGCCGACGTGCCTTCCGCGGCCTGCTGGAACCAGGCCCTGCTCCACGACTCGGAGGGTTGAGCGGGAGAGAAGAGATGGCTGCAGGGAAGGAGATGGCCTGTTTGCAAAAGCCTTGCAAGCCCTTCCTCCCCGGGATGCTCCAACCCAGCACGAGGTCACAACCCGGGGCCCTGTCCCTGCCTGACCCCCCCCCCCCCCGCCCGGGGCGCCCCCCCCCCCCCCCCCCCTCCACCCAAGCCGTCATGGCTGTCCAACTCAGCCAGCCGGCTCTCGCGGGACCAGCCCAGCACCCTCCAGCCCCCGGAGGAACGGAAACCGCCCCCCCCCCCCCCACGCCCCTCGCCCA